AGGTTGGACGGAACCTTGAGTAGCCTGATCTAGTTGAGAGGCATCCCTGCCCGTGACAGGGAGGTTGGACTAGATGATCTCTAAGGTCCCTTCCAGCCTAGGCCACTCTATGATTCTATGATTCTATATATCCCTATTGCAGATTTTACAGATACAATGGAAGAATGCACTAATGCAGTTTGAGAAAGAAACAACAGTATACGGTATAGGCTATTATAGAACTCGGCGATTTCCCGAAAAAATGTACTAGTGCAGATTTGTAGAGGGCCGGTTAGCTCAGTGGATTGAGTGCGGTGATGACAACAATGACAACACCGAGGTTGCGGCTTCGATTCCTGCTTGGTCCCCACATGTTGCCTGGTCTAGTCGAGAGGTGGCGTCCCTGCCCATGACAGGGAGGTTGGATGAAACGATCTCTAAGGTCCTTTCCAGTGTAGGCCATTCTATGATTCTATGAAGATTTAAGAAGCGCACAAGTTAGTAACAATATCAGTATTACAGTATGCCACATGTGTCTTAGTAATTTGCCCTTTCTCAGGTGAGGATCCTCAATCCCAGGGAAAATGTCCTTATGTGATGTCTTGAACAAGTGGAGAAGAATCTCCTACAGTCCCGCTGTATGGTTGGAAGATAATTCTCTGAATTCTTCCCAAAATCGTTCAGTTTTTATGCTGTAAGAATGGGATGGAGGGGGCACAGGCATGCCTGGGGGAACTTGGACTTCTGGAGTATTTATCTTCCTTGGTATGATGAGGTTTCCCCTTATCTCTCCTGGGTGCCCCCTACTAAGTGTGAGATAACCAGCACACTGGTGACTCAGCCAGATTAGCATATCTTGATTTACTCAGCCGGATTAACATATTTCACACATACATGATTTACTCAGCGGAATTTAAAACATCTCAAGAATAGATAGTGGGTGAATATGAGACTCAGGGCAGAATGTTTGTTATCTGCAATTTGGTTCTATTCAGGTCTCAGCCCTTCGTCTGCTCTTTCCTTTTGGATCACTCAGGGCTGGGTGATTTTTCACAACTCCCCTTGGCTCATCACAGTTAAGAATCTGTCAAGGCAAGACAGAGCTGAGCTGAGTTAACACCTCCCTGTGTCTCGCCTGTGGTCACTGGAACCTGTTCTGTGGGGATACACACAGTGTGCACACCAGTCCACAGCCACATCAGTGTTAGTTTGTCAACGACAATAATTCTTCCAGTCGAAGTAACTACATTCAGTTGGCAAACTATCATGAAATCATGAAATCACCCTTGGCCTCTTGTCTACAAGCCTGCTGGCCATTATGAACCATGACTGTGCCAAGGCAGAGAGGCATGTTGGTGTCTGGATCTTGAGCAGTAATTTTTGTACTCAGCGTTTAAGGCAGATATTAACATATATTAACAATTTTTTAGTCAGTGCCTTGCTAAGGAAGATTATCACATGCAGAGACACACGTGAAGCTACCAAATTAATCATATCTTAATGGGTTTTACTACCTGAGGTGATAACTGCTGGTGTGGGTTAAGCCCAGAGGGCAGCTCAGCCCCACAGTGGGCTGGGGCAGAGAATCAGAAGGAGAAAAGTGAGGGAACTTGTGGGTTGAGATAAAGGCAGTTTTTTAGGACAAGCAAAAACTGTGTGCACAAGCAAAGCAAAATAAAGAATTCATGATCTGTTTCCCATCAGCTGACAGGTCCTTAGCTATTTCCATGAAAGCAGGGGAATAAGTTGGAGTCCTCAAAATCTTCAGAATTAAAACCAACAGCCTCCTTCAGTGGTGTAGGTACTTCCGTGCCTACATGCTGTAGGCTAGTGCTTTTAATTCAGATGTTCCGTGCTGAGACTTCATGGTGCTAAATAAGCAAGTAGGCTTTTAAATTTCAGTGTAGTTTTGTTTTAAAAGGCCACTTAATGTTCTATATGTAATGTACAGCTCACAACTAAAGAAATAGCAACCTTCCTCTTGTGTCATGAGCCATATTTTTGTTTATGAAATACGATTGTTGGACTTCCTAGTCGAGGCTAACTCATTCTACATCATCATCCTTTTAAAAAAAGACCCACGACGAACTACAGTTTTTACTAGTACACTGAATAATAAATGCTTCATTAAGAAAATACACTGCAAAAATTCAGCATTTAATTATTTTTTTTGGACAATAGGTTTCATATTAATTTTAGAATGAGTATTTATGAAGGTTTTCACAAATCTTCAGTGTAATGTCCATGCTGTTACTGCAAGTGAATCAGGCCCAAGAAGAAAAATATCGGTTATTAATTCTTGGCAACTAGTTTATATATACGTTAGAATAGAATTTTGTAGAACATTGTTAAGAAACTCTAGAAGAAATGTTTTTTGGCTTTTTTTTTATTTATTCTAAGACTGAGAATAATCCAGGAAGAAAATCAAGAGAACAACTGCTTTCACTTTTTGCAGATATTCAGAGTATCAGAGGTCTTGCGGTGGATTGGATATCACGCAATTTATATTGGATTAGCTCAGAATTTGATGAAACACAAATTAACGTGGCACACTTAGATGGTTCCTTGAAAACCTCAATCATCCATGGAATCGATAAACCTCAGTGTCTTGCAGTTCACCCAGTAAAAGGGTAAGTTGGCTGTGGTTTTAATAAATAAACTACAGTAAAGCTCGTCAGAAGATTTCTCCTTTGTGCAGAATTTGTGTTTGCCCATTCTGTTTTCTTTCAAACCTAAAGTTAAATGCATGTATTTCAAAGATTTTGCTGTGACTTTCTGAAACAAGCACTGCTTGTCTAACAAATAAAATCGTGTCATTGTTTGCCATATATTTTGCATTCCTCTAAACTTAAAAGTGTTTTCATTACTCACGCATTAAGAAGACTTTGTACAGAAAGGTACAGAAAGGGACATTTTAAATATGTTCATTTGCCTCTGCAGTAAGCTGTATTGGACAGATGGGAACACAATTAACATGGCAAACATGGACGGCAGCAACAGCAAAATACTCTTTCAGAATCAAAAAGATCCTGTTGGTAAATATCTTTTTCCCTATTTTTCTGTTTGATAGTGCTTTTATTATGAGCATAATCTTGAAATTTGAATTAAGTGTGCCACGATGGTTTTCAAATACTAGAAAACAGTGAAAAGAACAGCCATATAGACACACAAAACGATGATGTACTTTATGTTTCGCAATTTAAGATATTTTTGTGCCATTCTAATTAAAATCTACTGTAGTAGGATTACAGCAGCTGAGGTGAAGAGCGCATCTGTGTGTCTCAACCTATAGATCATGAATTAAAAAAAAAATTAAAGAGCAGAGTTTAATAAAACTATGAATATATGTAAGAGAATACTTTGACTGGAAGTGTAGAACCCTCTTCTCCAGAATCAAAAGATAATTTGGCTCTTAACTTTTCCCATACAGAAAACAGCAGTAGTTGAAGCCTCCACTTCATATAATGACTTAACTTTTGGTTTAGGATTTGAGAATTAATATGTTGATGATAAAGTACGTCACTTTCTGGAAACAGAAGAACCAACAGACTCTCAATATATTGAGGTCTCTTTCTTTTTGTAACTTAATTTTTTAGAGGGTGAAAATGTTTACATCAATTATTGTTGCCTTATTAATGGCCCATCAATAAAATGATTACACTTTAAAGCATTTATGTGTTTTCATAGCTGAATGCCTTAAGCAAGAGAAAGCAGAAATTACTAAAGTAGTTAAATAATTCAGTAATTCCGGTGTGAGAGCAACATGACATGTGTTTTAGACTCAATTTCTACAAAATTCTTTGAATTTAATCTGGTAACTGTTTTATGGTACATTTGATTTTCCGTCTGTGAGAAGAGACAGTTATCTATCTATTTGGGGAAAAGAATGGCAAACCCACTAATTTTAATGTGAAGCATAAGCAATTTAACAATATCACAACCACATTAAGAAATGTGCAATATTTTGCACTGAATGTCTTTGAGATCTGATCATAATTACTTGAAACAGGTTATATTCCAAATGGAATGTTCTTACTGCATAATAATGAGACCTATTGCATAATAGGAGACCACAGAGATTTGGTTTTCTCTTCCTGGCAGTCTGAGATCATGCTAAATTATAAAGTATATAAAGTGTAGAATATGTAGTATTTAAAGAGTCCAGATGTTTATGTATGTTAAGGGAAAATAACGCTTGCACTTGTCTTGCCAAAGCACTTTTTAATTTTTAGACACCTTGGCACAATTTTATTGTCAGAAAGAACATGAAAACAGGTTCTTTTGCTTATCTGAGGAAAAATTATCGGATACACTATAGATAAAACAGGCATTAAATTTCCAATGTCAGACTCTGAATTGGAGCATATACAAAATGCCTGCTTTAACGGTTTAAATTATTTTTACCGTTAGCATAAAACATTCCCCTTTTAAGCACAGGAGGACCCTGCACTGCCTTTTCACTTTGAGCAATGCTTGTTCCACAAGCATGAAAACACATATGTGCAGAGAGATGCTGCAAAATCAATCTCTCCTGAAGGCACCACTCGGTATCCTTATCCTCTCTGGAGCGTGTGTTGTTTTCTTCTGGGTGATACACTTGCCGAGAGGGGAAAAGATATCAGTAACTGTTAAGGGAAGTGAAAGCTGGCTTTGGAAAGCTGAGAAAGTGAGCCCCTCTTGCCTACTGTGTCAGATGTGTGTAAAGAAGTAGTGGCATGATACCAGCTGCAAGGACTGCAGCACACGGTGCTACTTTCTGCTGTTGGGATTTTGAAAATAGATCTGGCTACCCACGGAGAAGCGGTCTACAGGATGGAAGAGAAATGTGTCACATCCAGAGGTTGACCTCTGTAGGGGAATACAGTATTTTTGGCAACTTGCTGCTAGATACCTAACAAGTTCTGGGAAAAGCCTAGTACCGAAGCAAATTATTGTGGCGTGTATTGTCCCCATGCCAAGCGTATTTCACTGTGGAAAACCTCTTGCTACAATTACTTGAACATTTTTAAAGGATTGTAGAAGCCTGAAATACATTCTCTCTTACTTATTTGCTCTTACTTCCAGAAAATAATATACTTTTGTTCATTTAGTAGTCACTTTACAAGTATTTTTATTTCTCCAGTTCTCTGTTCCATCACTGCTGACTCTAAAGAACTGACCTTGAGGTCAGTTCACTATGAAGCAAAATTAAAATTAATACTGTAAATTTATTGAGTATTAGTCTTATGTATGGTATTTCAGCATTCAAAGCAGAGGGCTGCACATGTAGGGAGAGAGCAGACCTTATAGTTCTAAATCACAAAAAGTAGCTTATTTTCTAAGTATATAGTCACAATTTTAGAATGTAAATGGTGGCTTCTGGTATCCATTTACTAGTAGTTAATGACCAAGCTTTGGATCTCAGTTCATTTATTTTATTAAGCATGAGATTCTTCACTATAAATGGTCAAGTTTGATTTTCTTGATATCTGTGTTTTGAGTGGGTAGATAACATAATTGTGTGTGTATATATTTCTTATATACACTTTTATCATGAAAACAGCTTAACGCTACGTGTATATTATCTGTTCAAGCCACTGATAAAGTTGTATACATTAATTACAGGTTTATCAATAGATTATGGGGAGAACAAGCTTTACTGGATCAGTTCAGGAAATGGAACCATAAATAGATGCAACTTGGATGGTGGTAATCTTGAAATAATAGAATCAATGAAAGAAGACTTAACAAAAGCCACAGCATTAACCATTATGGGTAAGTAGTGCTACTGACTTAGTTTTTAAATGATGGGAAGCTGCTGAAATCTGTTGGAGAGGGGATGTTCTGATATATGCATTCATAAACAAAAGCAAATTTTCTGCCAGAAGGAGTCTTGAATGTTAATACAGACAAATTGTCTTTTGTTGATTTGATTGTGACTAGAAATAGAATGAATAGGTGACCTTTAGGGAGCTGTTGGAAGTCTTTAATAAGATACGTTGTCAAGAGTATTTGTTCATACTGTCACTGAGATGTCTGTCGTATCGAGTCTTCTTCTGTGATTCACAGAAGCTACAAGTGATGGTCCATCTGGGATATTGAGTAAAGAGTTTATAGCTATCCTTTTAAGAAGTGTTGGATGCTTGCTTGTGTGAAAGCAGCATGGGGATGCAAGAATTTCTGCTGTGCAGCTTTTGAACGTATATATCTAATATTTCTAGTTTGGGATGCTTCCTTTTTATGGGTGATAAAAATTTCTTCTATTCAAAACTGATAAACAAAGCTTAAAATGTGTTTGGATTTTTCTGTTTGTTTTGCTTCTGGTTTTTGTCTTCGTTTTGGAGCCATAGGTGTGATAAACTGCAATAGGACTTTGTAGTTTAATTCTTTATATAAATATATACAGTCTATAAATCTGTTCGAGAAAAGTGCAAACATACAGTTTTTTGAAACAGCCCTCTGTGTGCTGATTGTAAAACATGATGAAAACAGGTTCTGTATGCGTTTCTCCTGTATATTTTTATATTGTGAAACATACTGTAGCAACATAAACGCCATCTATTTTCCTAAAGTGCTGTTAGCTTTACATCAGCTTCTTAGAGTTAGACTTTTGTGCGTGTAAAATGAATCAGAACAGAAATTCCAATGTGAGAGATCTGTAACTGATAAATGATCACAATTAAAAATATATGAAGAGAAATTTTTTTTCTTTCTCATGTAAGATTTAAGATGATAATGTGGAAAAATTTAGTACACTTGTTGATGTGTTTACCTACAAGTTAAACAGGAAGTTTTAGCAGGTGAATAACAGTAATTATGGTGCCTAGTGCATCATTTTTGGTCCATTTCATAAATTTTCTTGACTGCTTTTATCTGAAAAAACACTAAACAAAAAAAAAATGCACTGTTATGTGTCTTCTCTGTGTATATACTAAGCTAACTCTTTTTTTACAATTTTTTTTCATTAGTGACTGAAAACTGTGCCCAAGCTCTGAACTGTTTTGTGGCATTTACGTTTCACTCAATGTTAGAGTCCTGTAGGCATCTGCTGTTTTTTACATTTTTCTGTCATTGCATTTGGTGTATCCCCAGGTAAAAGCAGTATTTTAGACAGCTTTTTTTTTTTATTATTCTAAATATATGATCTTGTCATATTGCTGGTTTGTGTTTCCACTGGAGCAGAAAGAGGAGACAAGAGTTGTTTATTTTGAAACTCTTGTTGTACGGTATTCTCACCAGGTCATACATTGTTTGGTTGTTGATCATCAGAACCTTTGTTGATCTGAAGAGCTAAAACAAGGAAACAGTGGAGGGAATCTCGGTGGATTTGAGAGGGCAGGGAAATGAGATCTGAGAAAAGCCCTGGTTCCCATGCTCCCCTCCCTGCTCTGCCAAGGATAGGTGCACTGAGGGAGAACAGATTGTCAGATTGCTGAATTTCTAATAAATTAT